AAGAAGGAACTTGCAAATTGCAAGCAAAACGGTCAGTCCATCGTTACGTACTTTGGAAAATTAAAAACCATATGGGACGAACTCGGCGATCATGAAAAAATCCCCGCTTGCAAGTGCCATGGATGCAAGTGTGGGATAAGCAAAGTGCTTGCCATCCAACGCGACAAAGAAAAGGTTCACCAATTTCTGATGGGATTGGATAACGAAGGATATGGGAGTCTACGATCTAACATCATTGCCACAGAACCCTTGCCACCTCTGAATCGCGTATACTCCACCATTATCCATCAGGAAGGGGTCTTGAAGACTACTCAAGAAGAGGAACGTACCCCGGTGGGCTTTGTCGTCACCTCCAAATTTGACCGTGACGCAACTAAGGATTTAAAATGCAAACATTGTGGGTTGAGCGGACACGAGAAGAGTGGTTGCTTTCAACTCATTGGATATCCTGAATAGTGGGGAGATCGCCCACGTATCCTAAACCCGGGACGAGGTAATGGCCGCGGCAACAACATAGGGGGACGGCGCGGCAGCAGGGGGGCAACGCCGGCCGAGGTAACCGCGGCAGAGCTGGTGGCGGTCCAGCAGGCGGACCGGCGGCACACACGGCTCAGGCCAACGCAATGGATGGGGGACGTGCGCTCCATCAACCAAATCTCCCTTCTCTCACAACCAATCAATGGAATGCACTAATGGGACTCTTAAATGAGAAAGATTCGGGTATGGAAAGTAAATTTTCAGGTATGACTAACACTTCTTGGATCATTGATAGTGGAGCGAGTTAACATATGACCGGTGATAAGAAGTGTCTTGAAAATTTGGAAGCAATAAAACCTTGCTCAGTTGGCCTACCGAATGGAGATTGTGCGATAGCCAACCAAAAGGGGAGTGTGATTGTGGATAATTTGATCACCTTAGAAAATGTTTTGCTAGTTCTTCAACTCAACTGCAATCTTATATCTGTCTCACAACTTCTTGAGAAAAAGAATTTAATTGTCAAGTTTAATAATAAAATTTGTCTTATACAGGACTATATCTCGAAGATGGTGATTGGAATGGGTGAGCAGGCTGAAGGACTATATTATCTCAAGAAAGGTGTGAAGGACAAAGTCTGCACTGTGAAGGAGGCGAAGGATCTGGAATTTTGGCACAAGCGCTTGGGTCATCCCTCCTACACCACTGTCAACACTTTTCTCCATTTACCCAAAAATACCAATATCCCTAATTCCCCTTGTGATGTGTGTTTTCGTTCAAAACAATGTCGTGACTCTTTTCCAATTAGTCTGAATAAATCTATTACTCCTTTTTCCTTGATTCACTGTGATTTATGGGGTGGGTACCGTACTCCGTCTCGCACTGGGGCTAGATATTTCTTAACTATTGTTGATGATTTCTCTCGGGCAACTTGGGTGTATCTATTAAATCACAAATATGAAGCCCCTACTGTCTTGCGTAATTTCTTTTCCAT